CGCATATGATAAAATGACACAGGTGTGCACACACCCACTGTACCTGTCAGCTCCTCCCACTGGTTTTGTGCTATAACTATGTAAGATGTAACTTGGGAAAACTGAGTGAAAAGCACATGGGTTCTCCCTGTAATACCAGCTTCCTGGTTTGACTGGAATCTATAACTTCAAAATAAAAAATTTTTAAAGTAATATGGTTCATAGGAAAATAATGTGTGTGTGTGTGTGTGCGTGTGTGTGTGTGTGTACACACATTCAGAGGGAGTTGGGTACAAGAGTCTCATAATTTGGTTAATTTATAGGAACGTTGCTTTTAAGATGGAAGATTTAGAAATTTCCAGTAATTGGAACCTGTTATAGAAATATCAATAGGCTGTAGAAATTATATTTTAGTGAAATGTTCATAATTTACCAAACACTTTTATGTGGTTTTGATTCAAAAAGAATTTACAAAGTACAGGAGCAGTAACTCTGTTGAACTATATCATAAGTAAATATTTGAAGCAGGAAGAAACAGCCAACAGTGCATATAATTCTAAAAGTCTTGTGAATAACCCTCTACTCAGACTAAAATCATTTTACATGAAGAAAGCTTATTTTTCTTCTTTTTCTAAATTGCAGTATAGTTGATTTACAGTGTTGTGTTAGTTTCAGGTGTACAGCACAGTGATTCAGTTATATACCTATGAAGAAAGCTTATTTTGTAAATTCTTCAAGGGTCGACACTTGTACCACCTAACTCTGTGTCACTGATACGACCACACAGAGAAAAGAGTTAAGTGACTTTTGAACAAAACGCACGAATTTGGAACACAGTTCCCTCTCCCCTCCTGTCAGTCTTGCCACGACAGACAAAAGTGTCCCCACGTGGTGTCCAAACCTACGAGGGGTTAGGAAAGGGGTTATAACATAATCCAGATGCAACAACGGTCAAAAATTTACAAATTATGTCATAGTAAAATCTTTTACCAGGAATAATTGCTCTTTTTTAATCACAGGCCTGGGAGACAAATACCTGACAGTCCAGATGCTTGTAGAACCTTCGACCTGAGTTTAATCCAAAGTTAAGACTCAGTGAAGACCCAGAATCAGGGTTTCTTCTCACTATTCATTAAGCAGTAATAAGGAGATGACTTTATATATAAGTATTTTGAAAGCTTATGAAACAAACACTTTCTTATATGAGACAAAGTGTAAATTGTTGCTTTCTACCGCTAGGATTAGGTGTTTAAATTACCTTTTTGAACGCTTGGTGTTTTTGTCGGATTTTGCTTTTCTTCGTGAATACACATTTTACTAATACACTACCAGCACTTTCTTGTGAGCCTCACTTTACCATATCTCTTCCTAGCCTGAAGCAAATGATAATAAATGCTCTCAGCATTTAAGCATTTCGTGTACACGGGGTGGGGGGGGTGGTTTTGGGAGGCCGGTTTCCAAATGCCCACTGACCTTGCTTGTGACGGGGACACAGGGGTGCTGCCTCACACGAGCCCTGTGTACGGGTGTGGAGTGACCCCCTGGGGCATATTTTTAAGTGAAAACAGCCAAGTACGTACAGTTAGGAGTATGCTACCTTTTATGAAAGAAAGACGAATCAATAATAATTTGCTTATTCTTTTAAAGAAAGTTACGCTAGGGGGTGCAGTAGAGCTAGAGAAGCTGGCCATCGCAGTGGCTGGGTGGGAGAGCGCAGTGAGGCAAACGAGGCTCACGCTGTACACCGCTGTGCATACGGCCACGTGGAGAGAAGGGCTGGGTGACTTCTGAACAAAGGGCACCAACTCTGAGAACTAAGAAAATCTTACTGTTAGGAATAGCACTTACGGTGTCATTTTAAAACTCTTTTACGTAACTGTGAGAGAGAGAAAATAGGTGAATATGCCAGTGATTTTAATAAACAGGAGTCTCAGTGGAAGACGAGGTACATAATTTAAAATCTAAGTAAAGTTAAGCAAAGAGTTAATAGGAGCAATTACATAAATAAATATGTTCAATTTGAAGTGTTTCATTGTAAGAGAAAAGAGGTGCACATATAAAATCTAAGAAGAAAGAATTATGAATCCTAATAATGTCAACTCACAATTTGAAACCTGTGCATGTGTGTGTGTGTGTGTGTGTGTGTGTGTGTCCCCACCTGTGCCCACTGAGAGGGGCTGGATGCAGTGACTTCCCAGTAATAATGAGCACTTGCAATAATCAGGCCTTGGATCCTCAGTATTGCTCTCCACCAAAGGAACCTGGGCCCCTCGGAGAAAAGGCTGATTTCGGATGTGGGCAAAGTGAGCTGAAAATGCGTTGCTGGCACAGATGTGGCCGAGGCTGGTAGCAGCTGAGGGAGTGTGTCTGAAGGACACGGGAGTGGCCTAAAGCTGGGGCCACCCAAAAGCCGAATTGGGACAATTTGAATATAAAAAAGAATAAAGACTGCAGTGGTTGCAAATCATTGAGAAAGAAAGATCCAAAGTCCTACAGTGATACAGAAAATAGACATAAGTTAATACTAATAAAAACTCATTAGAAGTGACTACTACAATGACATAGATTAATTCAGGCAAGAGGGATAGGAACTGTTGAATAACTTGAGGGCAGAAGTGTACTACCTATTCTAGTTTAATCCTCAGGACTCCGGTGATGTATGGCATTCCCATTCTGCAGATAAGGCCATTAAGGCTCAGAACGATGAAATCCCTTAGTCCAAGATCTCATAACTAGTAAGTAGTGGTACCAGACTTTGAATCCAGATTTTTCTGAAGAGGAGACAGGTAACTCTGCGTGAATATCTGTATCTAAAGGTACAGGTTTTCTGGGCAATTATGGAGTACCCTCTATGTGCAAAGCACACTGATAGATATTAGGGCAAATTAGAAGGCGATTGGACCCTCAAATCAAACTCTGAAAAAGAGACAAAAAGAAAAAAGCACACCAAAGAGACCTGGTGTCAAATGTCAAAGTCAGGGCATCCCAGGAGCCGAGGGGGACCAGGGCTCACAGGGTGGGTCCCACCTGGAGCTGCTGCTGTGGCTCTTTGGCCTCTTACCTCACAGAGCCGAGGACACAGTCCAAGGCCGAGGAACGGGAGGTGGGCTGGGTGGGGGGTTTGGAGATCAGGGACCTCCTGTTGGCCTACATGTGGGGAGGGTCTGGAGTTCAAGTATCCTGATTCACCAAAGCTGATGCAGGAGTGACTTTGGGACCGAAGAGGCAGTGGTTCCAGGCGTGTGAACGTGAAATGTCAGCAACCTACAGAGACCGCTGCCCTCTGGAAAACCAGGAGCAGCGCTCAACGGAGAAAACCGGGTTGATCTGTGTTTGGGCTCCTCCTCAGCTGGATGACTGTTAATGCTTCGAGGTCTTGGGGAGACAAGCGGGGTCAGGAGAGGAACCTAGGGCGGGTCTGAGTGGAGCGGCCCGAGGAAAGCGGAGCTCCTGGCGGGAGAAGGGGCGGTGCCCGGGGGTGAGGTCTCCAGGGCCACCTTCTGGAGCCCTGATCCTTGCCGCTTGGCTGACGCAGAAGACAAAGCCACTGAAGCATGAGTTACTCTGCTTGGAGTTATTCTGACTAGAATGACAGAGAAGCCAGCTTTTACCCTAGAGTTCTGGCGGATTCATTCACTTTTCAAAATTCTGCAGATGAACATTTTTCACGTGTCTGATGACTTGATACAGCGTCATTGGGCGTGCTTTGGTGTGAGCACATTATCAAAGGCTGTAGAAGCAAAGGAAGGGAGGATGAGCCTGAGAGCCCTGTGTTCAAGGCTGAGGTAAGGACCGATGTCTCCGTTTCAGAGAAAGGTTTGGAGGCTGAGCAGTTGTTCCCATACGACTGAGTGGTATGAACTGTAGCACAGAAACCATTTGTTTCAACCGAAACAACTCACACTGGAAATCTCCCTGATAACCATTGCTTCGTGTCCTGGATTTTACATGGAGTAAGATGCACACAGGGCACCTTTGTTGGTGGAGAAGCTGGTAGGTGATGTTGATCAAGAATCGAGGGGTCTTCAGTTCTCAAGGAAGACTGTGGACCATGTACCCCTGGTTCATGCTGAGACAGTGCCTCTCAAAGCGTGGCCCCAGGCCAGCACCAGCATCACCGGGGCACTTGTTATCCAAGCAGATTCCCTGCTCACAGCCCAAACCTGAGTCAGAAGTGCTAGGGGGTGGGACCACTAACCGGTGTTTCTAGAGCCGTCCAGGTGGTTGTTCTGTAAGCTGACCTCTGAAACCTGCTCTAAGAGGTGTGGTGGTAACACTGGATTTATGTCACTTCAAGCAATTTGCTTGTTTCCGCTCTCTCTCCTGATAAGCCAGGTTCTCTGAAAGTCCCCGTTAATCAAGTTTTTCTATGATTACTTGGAACTAATTGAATCAAACGATTGCAGATCCAGCCCATGTAGAAGGCCCCCAAATTGAAAATCACAGTCGGTGAAAAACACAGGATTGTCATTCATAAAAATTTTATTTTTAAAATTTTTTTAAACTTTTAATTTTATGTTTGAGTATAGCCAGTTAACAATGTTGTGATTAAAAAAAATAAAACAAATAAAAATCAATGTAGTGATAGTTTCAGGTGCACAGCAAAGTGACTCAGCCATACATATGCATGTATCCATTCTCCAAACTCCCCTCCCATCCAGGCTGCCACATAACATTGAGCAGAGTTCAATGCTCTGTGTGCTATACAGTAGGTCCTTGTTGGTTATCCATTTTAAATATAGCAGTGTGTACATGTCCATTGACTCCAAAGCCCCCTGAATATCCCTTCCCCCTCTGCTAACCTAAGTTCATTCTCTAAGTCTGTGAGTCTGTTTCTGTTTTGTAAATAAGTTCATTTGTATCATTTTAAATAACATGGCTTTCATTTCAGGAAAAAACTGGGAACACTTCGTAGTCCTGAAATGGTAACTTTTTCACTGTCCTTCCTGAAAGGGAGTGGATAAAACATGCAGGGTAAAGCTAACTCTCCTAATTAAGTGCAACCTGTTTCTTCTTTCCAGGCCCAAACTGCTTTGCCGAGACCGCTGTCATCCCCGCTGGGAGGGAAGTGAAGACGGACGAGTGCACCGTCTGCCACTGCACCTACGAGGAGGGCACCTGGAGGATTGAGAGGCAGGCTATGTGCACCAGGCACGAGTGCCGGCAGATGTAGGGCTGGCCGCACGGACCACAGATGTTTTCGAGGATCCTTTCCCGATCTACCTGAACGTTCTGGATGCCTCTGGGAAATATCGACCGAAAGGAGCAGACTTTTGATGAGGAATTGTGGAAAACTGTTGGTACTTTTTCTTTTCTTGGTCACAACAACTGCAGGAGAAGGAAATGGACATATTTCAAAACATCGACAAGAACTTTGGGCAAAAAAGTCCACTTCTAAATAAATGTGCTATTTTCACAGTAAGTACACTAAAGTACACTATTATATATGAAATGTATTTCTATAATCCCTCTATTAGAGAGCTTCTATAAATGTTTTCTATAGATACAGATTAAAAATGCTGTGTTGTCAACTGTCCTCGCTGCGTACCTGCATTTCTTCTGCATTTCTGATTCCATCACGTGAGATTATTGGTGGTCGCTGATTCTCCTACGAATCTTGGAATAGTGCACCCATTAATGGATCGTAAGTTAAGGGAACGGATTTTCCCTGAGATCCTCTCCAAATTCTGTCTCATTACAGAGAGATATATAGTGTCGATCCTTAGAGGATCCAGTCAAATTCACACAAATATAATATTTCCTCCTTGTAACTTACTGCTTTTAGTATCTCCATTCTCAGTCATTTGGGAGATGCAGGTACAAAGATGACTAATACATGCTTTTTCTGTTCATTCAAAGCTCCCACGTCGTGGGCCATTCATTGACGGATGCACGCAGATATTTCATTTTCACTTACTTGACTTTCTCTTCTAAACGTGACTTTACATCATGCCCCAAACTAAGGAACAGGATAGGCTGGATTATTCGCATCATTGGTACCTCACGCAGAAGCACACAAATAGGGGAACCCCTGTTTCTCTGGAGGAGAGGTAAGGGAAACTGAACCCCTGAACAAGTCTATACCTGTAATCTACATGTGGCACGGACATCCCACCTATCTAGCCCATGGACTTGTGGTTCTCCTGGGGACGATCCTGTCTCCTACATGGCAGGCACAGTCCAATCCTGAACGAGAGCCCTGTATTAGTCACTGTGCAAGAGCCCCATGAGAAAGCAGTTCTGTTGAATATATTAAAACAACAGCACCGAAGGTCACGGGCAACGTTCCTGGAGTTACATGTCACTCCAAACCAACTCCACTTCTCTTCATTTGGATAAAAGAAGCCACTGCTAATCCCGCTGATCTGATCAGTGCATGTTATAGAATATTTCTGCCTTTATCAATCACATCAACACCTGACACATTGATGAAAAAGGTGGCCAGAGTTTTAATAGGTTTAGGGAGAAAAAGCAGAACTATGGTCGCTATTTAATGCCTTTAAAGCTTTTCCCCCATACATTTATTGATTCCAAAATTTTGAATTAAGCATCTAAGTACAAATTATTGTCACCACAAAAAAAGGAATAAATCATGGTTTCCTGCCTTCATGGACTTTTGGCCTCTGGTGCAACACAAATAAGAAATCAATCACTGTGTATCGTGGTGAGAGCTGAACTAGAGGTCAGCAAAGGGTGGTCAAAGAGGCTTCATTCCATACAGAAGAAATCATTTAGTCATTAACGTTTGAATAATACCCAAGAAAAATGGATACTTTTGTCATCACTAAAAAGTTGACCCATTGTGGACCTTAGTAACTGCAAAGCCACCACTAACTGAATCCTCAAGAAATTTACACATGCTTATATTTAATTTTTATCTTATCAAGAACACTCTGGGCCAAATGGGCTCTGCACACAGCTTTCCATGCAAATCCTCAGGGGAAGTACCATGTAGACGCCCTCAGGTGTGATCAGCTTTCCAGAACTTACTTTTTGTATTAAAGGCTACTAGAAATCAGCCATCTCTCCATCATCCAAGGGAAGATTTTTATGAGCCAAGGTTATATCAAGGTATGATTTTGTCAACAAATGGCCCCAGCCTCCTGGGGAGGTGGGTCAGCAGGGATGTCTCAGCACACAAGCAGCCTCTTCTCACCCCAGCAGACATGCTGCAACTAGACAGACCCCATCAAGGGGGCCCAGAGTCTCCCTGCTCCCCTTGGTGATGTCGCTCCTCCCAGCTGGGCAGTGAGCTTGGAAATCATGGTGATGGCTCCTCAAACGTGGTGAGAATTCCAGGAAACCTGGTATTTTGTTGCACAGAGAGCGTGAACCTGACACCATCCTGTGAAATTGTCTAAACTCGCATGACCCACCCTTGTCCCAGGCATGCTCCAGGCTGGAGCCCCAGGGCCATTATTACAGTAAAGTAACCCCTGCCCCTCCTCTTCCCACATAAGGACGATACATAAACAAACACAGGGCAGAACATGGATTAACCACACTGCATAGGCTTAATGTAGAATGATACTATTTGCATTGTTGTCCAAGAGAAATGTGATTCTCAGGTTCTTTATTTCATGCTGTTGATATTAGACTTTCACATCCGTAAAGTATATCGGGGGAAATTTTGGTTTCCTCCTCTATTTCCATAGAACATTTTGCTGAGATTCCTAATGATGAAACTGCTCTAACAGAGGAAAGTATGGGTCCAAGTTACTGATTTCAAAATACGGTTTTGACATAGTACTGAAAAGGGAGCCTCAAAATTCTAGTGCAGAAGTGATTGGAGAGCCATAATTCTTAAAATTCAAATAGGCCTACTCCATGAGTACCTCATAAATGTTGTTGAATGGTTTATTCAAGTGAAAAAAAGGAAACCATGCTTACCAATGTATTACATGAATTTATTTAAAATGTTTCAACCTATATCAATATCTGAAAACCTGAAGCTACTTGTATAAGCAATAGTGACTCTGGAATTTTCTAATCTGATGTTTTAGATTTTCAAATTAGATTCATTCTTTCAGCCATAGGCTCCTTCCTTGTTGGATGGATCCATCAGTACTTGTACATTTCACAGAAGCTCGTATTTCACTACTGCACACAACAAACGTTAGCTGCACCCTTCGCCACATGCCAGAGTCTGCAGTACAGATGGAGACCTGAGTGTATGCTTGACCTCAAGGAATTTATATGCCTTGAAACTCACATTTGATTAGTTTCTTTTCAATCTTTTCATACCTTCAATGTCTTCATCTCCTGTGTGCAGTAAAACATAAAGAGATGAATTCTTAAACAATTTAAAATTTGTGGCATCATGAATAACTTTAATAAACTCTTCTCTTCACTCCCCCAATGTAAGTGCTGTATGTGTACAATGTTAAAAAATGCCCAAAAAATTTCAGAGAATTCAGATGTTTTCGATTTTGTTTTTGTTTTGATTTTAAGCATTGAAATGGACTTCTTAATGTGTCCATTAGTTGAAACATGAAAAATACACAGTTTCTAACAAGCATTATTGAAAACTGCATCGATTATTTTAAACATCGATTACTGAAACATAGAGAAAACAAAAGTATAGACACAAGCCAAATTAGCAAATATTAACAACTCACTCTATTTGCTTTAATAGGCAAGAGAGCAAGTCTGCTTTTTATTAATTTTAAAAAGTCAGATGTAATTGTGTTGCATTGGAGGACACATCTGACTTTTTAGAATTAATAAAAAATTAACAAAGGTGACCTAGATGTCATCCCATTGGCACAGGGGACAGTTCCAGGCGTCCCAGTTAGTGGGCACCATTGGTGACAGCATATGGCTTCTCTGGCCAATATAATTTGCAACATAATGTTCTTACTAGACCTGCCCACTTACTATCACTCCGATGGCTGATGCAGTCATTTTTCCTGAATAATCTGGTTTAGAGTGAGCAATTCACTTATTCTAGAATAAATGCATTTTTACGGTTCGTACTTTTCACATTCCAGCTGCCACTCTTTATGGTTCCACAGTAGAACTGGTCCATGCTCCTCACTCCAAAGCAACCTCCCCAGTCTACGATTTTAGTTTCCTAAACATAGATTTCCATTTTGACTGAATGCTCCCAATCGCACACGGAACAGCCAGACTCCTCAGCATGGCAGGCTGGCATCTTTACATGTGGATCCTGGTCCACACCCTGACCTGACCCTGCTGGCTCTCAGCACCTTTGGATCGGGCTGCCTCAGACTGGGCTCTGAACCTGCCTCTACCTCCCATCCCTGCCTTTTCAGCGCAGGGAGAGATGAGCCACTTTTCAGTATCAAACTCAAAGGCCATTACTTGTGAAGCTTCTTTAGTCCTAACTGGACAGTCATTTTATACCCTGCCATACTATTCATTTGGTATCTTATTTTATCATGATTTAGTTTTTCTATTTTTTGAAGTACAGTTGGTTTACAGTGTTGTGTTAATTTCTGCCGTACAGCAAAGTGACTCAGTTATACATATTTATATATATATATATGTTATTTTTCTAATATATTCCTTTCCATGGTGGTTTATCACAGGATACTGAATATAGTTCCCTGTGCTATACAGTAGGACCTTGTTGTTTATCCGTCCTGTATATAATAGTTTGTACCTGCTCATCCCAAACTCCAATCCATCCCTCCCCCACCCCTCCTCCCCCTTGGCAAGCACAAATCTCTTCTCTAGGTCCGTGAGTCTGATTCTGTTTCATAGATAAGTTCGTTTGTGTCATACTTTAGACTCCACATATAAGCAATGTCATATGATATTTGTCTTTCTTTGTCTGACCTACTTCACTTAGTATGATAATCTCCAGGTCCATTCATGTTGCTGCAAATGGCACAATTTCATTCCTTTTTATGGCTGAGTAGTATTCCATTGTATGTATGTACCACATCTTCTTCATCCATTCCTCCGTCAATGGACATTTAGATGGCTTCCATGTCTTGGCTGTTGTGAATAGTGTATTTTAGCATGATTTTGAAATATCGTACTTTGCATTATAGTTCACTTTATTTTTCCTCTATTCTTTACTCTAAAATCTCTTTAATTCAGGCTATGGACCATTCCATCCCCAGAATATCATCCAGTACCTTTATGTTAAAGGTTTATTGAGTTGTTGTCAATATATAAATTTATTTATTTGCTGCCCTTGTTTAAGGCCAACACATTTCTTGAAGAGCAACTCAAAGCTCCCATTACTATTTGCCTGCCTGGTGGTCTCTTGGTGTCTCAGTTGACTTGCAGACCTCAAAGGTCCAGGGCCAGGAACCTGAGGCCTACCCAGTCCCCAGTGTTGCAGAGTTTAGGGTGAGTAGCCATGAGACAGTCATTGGCCATTTATGATGCAAGTCAGGAAACAAATGGCTTTTGGTGTAAAATTTCTGATGCTAAATGTAATTTCTTATACTGAGGAGACACTGGTACTTACTGATGATAAAACAAGTCAAGTTCACAGTTTTGGTATTTCTTTACTGATTATTTCTAACTTTTGGAATATAAATCTCTTATCTTTGACTTTCTTTCACTGTTTTGAGTATTTCTGAATATTTTAATTTTTTTACATAACATAATTAAACACCTCAATAGGTATCTGATGAATTAATAAATCAATGAACTGAGTTATCAGTACAGAAATACAAGTTTCCATAGCTTGTTGGAAAAGTGTTACAAAGTGATGGTTGTCTATATTTCACCATGGTCAAACTGTGAAGAACCTGCTGTTCTAACCTAACACAGAAATGTGGAAATTAAGTACAAACGCCTAATTTTAAAAGTAATAAATTCCATTGAACATTAAGTGACACTGGACAGCCATGCTGGCCAAGAGCACTCAACCGGAGTTTCAATAACATTCAGAAAATGTAAATGAAAATGTGCCCCAACTGCTTGGCACATGGGCGTTTTATGGTCTAAGAACTATATTCTGTTTAACTCCTACCTGTTAAGTTCAGAGAAGTATATAAATCCAGTGGCTGCCACATTATTGAGACACAGAATTATCAAAAATAATCAAAGGAGGGACTTCCCTGGTGGAGCAGTGGTTAAGAATCTGACTGACAATGCAGGGGACACAGGTTTGAGCCCTGGTCCAGGAGTATCCCACATGCCAGGGAGCAACTAAGCCCGTGCACCACAACTACTGAGCCGGTACTCTAGAGCCCGCGAGCAACAACTACTGAGCCGGATGCCACAACTACTGAAGCCCACGTGCCTAGAGCTCATGCTCTACAACAAGAGAAGCCACTGCAATGAGAAGGCTGCACACTGCACCAAAGAGTAGCCCCTGCTCACTGCAACTAGAGAAAGTGCACATGCAGCAACGAAGACCCAACACAGCCAATAAATAAATAAATAAATAAATAAATTTTTAAAAATTCAAAGGATATACCTGCAGTCATTTTAGTACATTACTGACACAGTCTGATGAATAAAAACAATTGTAAATATTGACACCTAAGTTTTAAATTCATTTCAAAAAATACAAACATTTCCCAATTTTATTTAATATTCAGTAACATTTAATGATTAATTTCCTATTTTTAAAAATTGCTGTAATTAATTTCAGGCCTATTGCCTTTCAGTATACTTTATGGGAATATTGGTTTTCCCATTTTCTTTATTTATTATACTTACACTATCAAATGAATACAATTCTATGTTTATTTCTACTTGATTTCAGGGATTATTTCCTTCGGAAGCATGTATTTCCTACAATTAAAATGAAAACGAGTGAAAGGTATCCAATAAGTAATGTCTTTCTATGAAATTATTAGCACCCTATATATAACAGAGTTACTTATTTTGTAGTTTGAAATAATCCACTATTAGGCAATCAATAAATGCATATTTTAAGCCAAGAGTTATGCAGTTTCCCCAGGCAGTAGTTAACATTATCTCCTTTTTTGCAGAAAAGTAAATGTAAGCTCAGAAAGTTCAGAAATGAGTTCAAGTTTCATTCCATTGAACGATGGGCTTGAGTTAAGAACCAGACTGTGATGATAATCTCAATAGATGCAGAAAAAGCTTTTGACAAAAGTCAACACACATTTATGATAAAAACTCTCCAGAAAGTAGGCATAGAGGGAACTTAACATAATAAAGGCCATATATGACAAACCCACAGCCAACATCATTCTCAGTGGTGAAAAACTGAAACCATTTACACTAAGATCAGGAACAAGACAAGGTTGCTCACTCTCAACACTATTATTGAACATAGTTTTGGAAGTTTTAGCCACAGCAATTAGAGAAGAAAAAGAAATAAAAGGAATCCAAACTGGAAAAGAAGTAAAACTGTCACTGTTTGTAGATGACATGATACTATTACATAGAGAATCCTAAAGAGGCTACCAGAAAACTAGTAGAGCTAATCAATGAATTTGGTAAAGTAGCAGGATACAAAATTAATGCAGAGATATTTCTTGCATTTCTATACACTAATGATGAAAAATCTGAAAGAGAAATTAAGATACCACTCCCATTTACCACTGCAAATAAAAGAATAAAATACCTAGGAATAAACCCACCTAAGGAGACAAAAGACCTGTATGCAGAAAACTTTAAGACACTGATGAAAGAAACTAAAGATAATACAAACATATGGAGAGATATACCATGTT